CACACACACACGCACAAACAACTGCTGTACACCTGTGTCACCTTCATGCCGAAAAGCTCTTGGTCTATTCCCACACACTCAGACACACACTTATTTTTCTTGCTGTCTCAAGAGTTTTTACTGTGAACTGTTTTTTTTAAACAAAATTTTTAAAAATGGAAAAACACTGTCCACGTTGAGGTTTCAGAGTTACCTGACTAACTGGGAATACTTTTGGAGAGACATATTATATTTGGATGTAGAATAAGTCTAAATGGAGAATTTGCCCAAATCTCGTCCAGTAAAAACTAACTAATAAACTTAAACTACCTGAAAGGCTAAAACACTAACAGGACAGTTTTTTTCATGTAACTGGGTCAACTGACCTTTTAAACATGAATGAAGGGAGTTTCATTGACTTAGTTTGTTTATTCATTCTTGTATGTGCAATGTTATCAGTTTGTGTTTCTTTAAAATTCTCCATTTCCATATTTTAAGTTTGTTGTTTCTTTTAAATGTTTTTTATTCTAGTTTCTTTGCATAGAGAAATTATTGAAACAAGCCTCTGAACATGGCACTGGATGCATACGTATGAGGCCTGTTGCACATTTGGGTGCAGGCATGTGTATGTGCATTTGTATGTTTTTCATTATGTGGTATGGTGGCTTTGCTTGGTGATGTTATTCGGCAGGGCGGATTGCTTTGAGCTCCTTGATGCTTTTAGCTGTGGTCTGTGTTCCTCTGTGTGCGTTTGTGTGTCCAGCTGTGTCTTCACATGTGCATGTTTGCATGCCCTCCGCTGTGTATGTACTCATGTGCATGTGTGTGTATACATGAGCGTGTGTGTTGTGGCAGTACGTTATCTTTGATGTGGTTGTGCTAGTCAGATTTGGCTGATTTCTTGGGAATGTTGAGTAGAGACAATTCATCCAGGCCCACAAGCAAGTTTAAATATCATGCTACATGCAAACACATTTACACACACAGACACACATTATCAAAACATGCAGAAGTTTATTTCTGTGATGAGTTTGGCTTCACAGAGGTAGTGAATTCCCTTTCTATATCATGTGTGTCTCTCCTCGTCTTCCTCTTGTGTTTCTGTGTGTCTGTCCCAGCTCCTCTACACACAAAAGTCACAGTAGAACCTGGCTTAGAAGAAAAGGTGTGAATGAGGTCTGAACCAATTTGTGTGCACAAGCTACCTGCTGACGTATTTGGGTCAGTCGGTATTTCTTTGTTAATGTGATGATGTCATCTTCTCATAACTTTACAACTTGCAAACAAGAAGAGGTATCGCTATTAGTTCTCGCTCTCACTCACACACACACACATGCCAAACAATTAATCATAATTAAGGCTTATTCGTCATACAGACAAATATTAAAGAAAAGAGGTGTCACTTGCTGTCAGGCCATTTAATGACTTAATTTGTTAGTTTGTTAATAAGTGACTTGCATAAACGACATAAATTCACTCACAAATCAAAGAGACAGATGTGTGTGTCTCATTCTCTGTGTGTTTCTGAAGCCTCTGAGGTCTTCACTCTTATCTCAGGGCTTTAAATCAGTGTGACATCACTAATTAGGAGGTGGGTGTTGTGTTTTGCTGTTAATTGATTGCGCTGTCTCTTATATTAATGACATTTTAGCTGAACACTGATGTATATCAGCAACTTGCTTCTAAACCTGCCACTGGTTTACAGCAATAACACTGTTTTTAGACATGAACTTTGGGAAATGTCCAAAAAATGTACAGCAGCCATACTTTGACATTTGCTAAATTGGAATAGTCCTTCATCATAACTATCATATCAAGTGATCAGATATTTTGATCCAAGCAAGCTTGGACCTATTCTGAATCTTGGGCTACTTCCATTTGCTGCCTTGGACTTGAAGCCACCCCTCGAGCACCGCTAACTGGAGCTTGCTCTCTGCCCTGATACCTTGTCAAATCTGGCAGCCACATATGAGCCAGACACGGCTCATACCGTCTGTGGATAGAACGCAGCTGAGTACACTGACACTCAGCCCAGTTGGCTCTGCTTGGCTTCTGATTTGCACTGTGATTAATAAACAGTCGGTTAATGTTTCAGTAGCTAGTTAGCCAATATTAGCCTTTGGCTTATCAAATGACTTGTGGCATAGCTTGTTAAAGTTGAGGTCCTTTGGTTGCACATCTCTATATGCCACACAATTCCAGTTGTTAAACAAAAAAATAGATAATGTAGAAGTGCATACATTTGAATTCAAACAAAGTACTAACATTCTCATTATTTGTTGGGAGAAGGGTAAGAACATCTAAATCAGTGATTGAGTCTGAGCACCTTTGACCCTATCATGGCAGCAGGAACTAAAATTGAGTTATCACCTCTACAATTTACTCCTTTCTTCCACCTGTCTGTGCAGACTGTCGAAAGCAACAGCTTTACAGAGCCACAACTCAATGGCAGCTTGGTGTGTTCATTTTCCACTGCTGGACTCAATGGTCTTTTTTTGTCGTTGTCCACCCTCTATGGAAAAAAAAGAGAAATCCATTAATCAGATTAAGAACATTAACTAGGCAAAACAAGGGCAACGGGCTCAACCTAGTTTTCGAAGGTTCGACCAATTTATCTTTGTCTCGGTCTGTTTTCTGTGTTTGTAGCAGAAATGGGGTTGAAATCCATTAATCAGATTTGGTTAGCGAGTGACCACATTGCTAGAGGGAGACCAGACCCCAAATAGTGGTTCATTTTTTCTCCCACATAATTACACGCAAAGCCTGTGTGTGTGTGTGTCCGCACACACTGCACTATAGCCATTTTCAGAAATGACCTGTGGGTAAAATCCAGAGATTTACCCAGAGTTTGCTTTTCACACATGCACAACACAGCGGGAGGTTCTCTGCACAGATGTGTTCACAACAGCAACAAATCCTCCGCATTATTTAGACGAGATGTGGAGCAGCTGGGTGCAGCAGGCGGAGGCAGGAAGTGACATATAAACTCCGCTGCGTATATCACACAATTCTCTTGACACCATAGAGACACAGGCGTCGGCTCTTATCACCACAAACTCTTTTGGCATCTGTCGCTCACTAGAAGCCTCATCAAACCTCCCAGTTGCTCAAGGTGAATCCAGCGGGGGATCTCCTGCTGTGTTCTCACTTCAGTTTTTACGGACATTATACTAGGAGGCCCGGCAGAAAGAGTCCACAGAGACTGTGGAGCGTCTCACTCGGACATTTGCATTCACACTTGGAGGAACTGTGGAGTTCAGTGCATGTCTGAAAGCAACTTAAGACACTTTAGCATAGTCCATAGACAAACTAGTCAGACATAATACCACATTCGCACGAACAC